CCCCCCATTTGCAAACTATGACACTTTCCTCAAGTTTGTCATTTGCATATGTAACTAGAAGAGTTCTACTACAATGCACCAAAACCTGGAGTTATTTGGAGTTATTTTACCAAAAAATATAATTGCTTTTACCACCCGGTCTAAGTTACCCCAAGAGCTGGGGTAACAAAGACCATCACTTTTTTTTAAATTACATCAAAACTATGAGAGGCAGGAGCCAGCAATTTATGGTGAGTAAAGCTAGAGTATAGACCTGAATTTTGCATGTTTCAATTCAAGTTTAACTTATCTAGTAAAAATATGGCATCATTTTGAAAAAAAAGTGGTCAAAGTTACCCCATTTTACGGTAACTATGTAATTGAGGAGCACGGCGGCAGTAAGTGGAAGCATGCTTGCCAGCATGGAATTCTAAAAAGGTTCATATATTATTTTTGATCCACCTTCACCAGTTTTTTATTTACAAATTTTGTCAAGCTAGAAAGAATAAAAACAGGAGGGATTAAAGTTAAACTTGAAAGAATAAAAAATGAAGGTTGCAACTTCCACTACTTTAAGATTTCAATTAGACTAAATAATAATTCATTAGCAATTCACGTCCAAGTCAAACACAACAAATTACCATTTTGAATAATAAATCACACCACCAATGAGAGTTGAACATGATGCCCTGTAAAGCTATTTTGCAGGAGCATAACTCACACGCCTTCAACCACTGAAAGCTAACCAGCAACTGCTTTCAATATATGGTTAGCAATGCCGATGTTGCTGCCGGAAGTGCAACATTGCAACAGCAATATTACAGTACTGTCAAACGGGTAATAAGGGACAGTCCTCCAATATTTTGTAGATATGTTGAAGCAGCTAAACTAATCAAAATATTGCAAAACTAAAAATAATTGCATAAAGTTTAAACATTTTTACTATCTATGTAACATAAAGCAAGTTGAGGAATCATACACTTATTACCTCTAAAAAAAATCCCTGGAAAAAAGTGTGAGAAGTGAGATTTTGGAAAAGTACCTTTGCTAAGGTCTGTAGCAGAAAAAATATTTGTCATATTGAAAAATTTTACTCACATAAAAGTTGCACACAGGTGTTGGCTTAAAAATGTTATTGACTGAATTTGCATATCTCATTAAAATATGGCAGCCATTTCCGCAAGATGGAGTAATAAGGAACACCCCCATGGGGAAATAAGGGACACCCCTAAAATCACATTTACAGTGGAACCTTGGTTAGCAAAGGCTCCAGTTAATGAAAAAATCAATTAACAACAAAGAATTTCAATACATTTACCTTGCTCAGTGAAGAAAATTTCACTCAACAAAAAATTAATGCATCAGTCATCACAAAATTGTGCATAGAATGTCATAGATAGAATTTAGCACTGAGCAACAAAGAATGAAAAGTAATTTACCTAAACTATGATTTATTTCTCCAAAAAATATAATGGTTGTCACTAAAATATTCCTTTCTGTTTCAGGTATGTTTTTTACAATCTTTTTTGTTATAGTGAAATCACTTGACTCGATAAAAAATTGTGCAAAATTACAAGCTATCCTGTAAGCTTACAGATACAGAAGAAATGCTATTTGGCTACTGATATGAAGCTTGCAGTGGACAAGGTCATTGTCAATGCTCAATAGCATTTCCATGGATACAGTAATATTACATTAATAATACGGTGTATGGATAAAGTAATATTGTATAAATAAAGAAAAAACAAGTAAAAATCACAGAGAATGTCATTTATTCTACCGTACATCTACATCATCTACAAAGGATGAGGAAGACTAAGGAATACCATCAACTGGGGATACTCGGGACAATTTAGAACGTTTTTCATTCATAACTTCTTACCATGAAACATTTCATAAACAAGTTTAGGCTCATTTCAAAGCTCTTTGCAAGGGCTATCTCATGGCTTCTTCAAAAAAATTTCATGTGCCATTAGTAAGGTGCCAGAAGCAAAAAAAAAAGAGTGTCCCAAGTAGCCCCATCAAACGGGGCTGGGGGGGGTGTCCCAAGTAGCCCTGCCGTGCGGAAATGGCCGCCATTTTTTTGGGGGATTGAGGTACCGTATGTAAATTCCGCAAATAAAGTTTTCATGCTGACACTTGTCTGCCACTTTTTCCCAAGCAAAATATTTTAATATGGCAAATATTTTTTTTTACTACAGACCTTAGCAGAAGTAACTTTTCAAAATATCGTTTTTCACCATTTTTTCAGGAATTTTTCAAAGCTAGTAAATGTAGTATTTTTGAACTTCCTTTATACTACATAGATAGGAAAAATGTTGACGTTTACGCCACTATATTTAGTTTTGCAATATTCCAATTAGTTTTGCTACTAAAACAGTTTTACGCCGTGTCAGAGGACTGTCCTGAGTTACCCCGCCCGTCCCGAGTAGCTCCGGTTGACGGTAGCATTCTAAACCAGTGTTTAGACTGAAAAACTAGCTGAGAAAAACCATTAAAGAAATTCATTCTAAAAATTTGACCCTAATGTGTTCATGAAGTGTTTTGTTTTGGAATATAACCTCACATACACACTGAATGGATTTCATAATGTATGGTCTAGATCAAGTTCGGCAAGTATCGAATAAATGACGATTGATCGATGGTAGTTGCACATATGTCTCAGACAAATTTACAGCCAGACTTGCAGCCTGTGTCTATATTCAGTAAGCATGGAATATCTGATGAACTTTGTGCACATATTCATTAGGATCTAATGGTGATGTTTAGCTGCTCCTGACAATTTTCCAGATTTTGCCTTTGTTTGCAAATTTTTTCAGTCTCATTCCTGATTTAAACAGCAATACGCTTTTAAATTTGCAGTGAGCATAAATTTCTTCTAAAATACTTAACAGATTTGAACAAAACTTCATATATGAATCCGTATATCCCTATAACTTGCAAATGAAGGTGAAATGGAAAAATTTTTCACAAGCTAAACATGACCGTTAGGTCCTAATGAATATGTGTACCAATTTCATCAAGCTACATTCAGAGAAGTGACGGAATTACCTACGATGTCGGAATATAACGCGTTTACCCTACCATTAATTCAGCATTTATTTCTTTTGTCAATTATCTTCAAACTGGAATTTATTCTGTTCAATTCTGCCCTTTTATGAATTTATATTTTATACTATTCATATCTATCAGATAATCAGACTATCACTATCAGTATCAGTCATATTGGTTTCCCCCAGTCCCCACCCACCCCTGACCCCACCAGGCCACATAGGGCCACCTGCAGCCTGCAGGCTTGCAGCTGCAGCATGGTGGCAGGGAATTATTGTGAGTACTTATCGGTCCACCGCCGTGCGTCGGTCTTAACCCTTCGCAAGGCCCCATGCCCTTGGCCCTTGAAGTTTTACGCCGTGTCAGAGGACTGTCCTGAGTTACCCTGCCCGTCCCGAGTAGCCCCGGTTGACGGTAGCATTCTAAACCAGTGTTTAGACTGAAAAACTAGCTGAGAAAAACCAATAAAGAAATTCATTCTAAAAATTTGACCCTAATGTGTTCATGAAGTGTTTTGTTTTGGAATATAACCTCACATACACACTGAATTGATTTCATAATGTATGGTCTAGATCAAGTTCGGCAAGTATCGAATAAATGACGATTGATTGATGGAAGTTGCACATATGTCTCAGACAAATTTACAGCCAGACTTGCAGCCTGTGTCTATATTCAGTAAGCATGGAATATCTGATGAACTTGGTGCACATATTCATTAGGACCTAATGGTGATGTTTAGCTGCTTCTGACAATTTTCCAGATTTTGCCTTTGTTTGCAAGTTTTTTCAGTCTCATTCCTGATTTAAACAGCAATACTCTTTTAAATTTGCAGTGAGCACAAAATTTCTTCTAAAATACTTAACAGATTTGAACAGAACTTCATATATGAATCCGTATATCCCTATAACTTGCAAATGAAGGTGAAATTGAAAATTTTTTCACAAGCTAAACATGACCGTTAGGTCCTAATGAATACGTGTACCAATTTCATCAAGCTACATTCATTACCTTGGGAGATATTC